CGATCAAGCAATAGCAACAGCAAACGCTCAAAGCAGCATGCTACACCTCCTCAGTCTGCCGTACCCTATAAGCACCACCAAGCCCATCCTGACTCAGCGCTTGGCCCTCTCCACCGCTGCAGGACTCGGCGCACCCAGCTGCTCAGGATGCCTGACCGCCTTCTCCACAGTGCTAGTCATGGCGAGACCGACGGGAGTTGTGGCGCCACTTGACGGGGCCGGGGTGCTGGAGCGGGTGGGCGGGGCGGAGCGGTTATGCTGCATGTGGGCCTTGACGAGGTGGCCGGCGGCGAGGGCGGAGCAGAGGGAGAGCTCGCCCGCGAGGACGGCGGCGGCGACGATGCGTGCGAGCAAGCGGGCGTTCTCGCCGGGGTTGGGGAGGTGGGGTCCGCGCACGCCGAGCAGGTCGAGCATCGCACCCTGCGGATCCAGGATGGTGCCGCCGCCGAGGGTGCCGACTTCGATGGAGGGCATGGAGACGGAGATTTGGAGGGAGCCGCGGAGGCTACGGGATAGGTGTTAGTGCGGAGTTCGAAGTAGGGGAATAAGGCGTCTTTGGGAGGCGGGACAGGAACTTACTTCTTCATGATAGTGATACAATTGGCGCTCTCCACGACCTGGGCAGGGTCTTGGCCGGTAGCGAGGAAAATGGCAGCGACAATATTCGCCGCATGAGCGTTGAAACCACCCACAGACGCCGCCATGGCCGAGCCGATGAGGTTCTTGTTAATGTTCAGCTCCACCAACGAATCAACATCACTCTTAAGCACATTCTTTACCACGTCGCCCGGAATGATTGCCTCGGCGACAACACTCTTGCCCCTCCCCTCAATCCAGTTGATGGCCGCCGGCTTCTTGTCGATACAGTAATTGCCACTCAAAGAAACAATCTGCATATCATCAAACCCTGCCTCGGTAGCCATCACATTCAACGCATGCTCGACACCCTTGGAGATCATGTTCATGCCCATGGCGTCTCCAGTTGTAGTCTTGAAGCGGATGTAGAGATTAGTCCCCGCCATGGCCGTCTTTATCTGCTGTAACCGTGCGAATCGGCTAGTAGAATTGAACGCCTTCTTCATCACCCGCTGACCCTCGTTAGAGTCCAACCAAAGCTTGGCAGCACCTGATCGCTCGAGCGTCTCAAAGGTCACGCACGGGCCACGCGTCATCCCATCCGCGGTCAGAACCGTAACCGCGCCTCCACCAAAGTTGATGGCTTTGCATCCACGACTAGTACTGGCCACAAGAACACCCTCGGTTGTGGCCATGGGAATCATGTAGCTGCGACCGTCGATCACTAGTGGTCCGGCAACACCTACGGGTAGGGGCATATAACCGATAACATTCTCGCAGCAAGCACCAAAGACCTGAGCCCAGTTGTAGTTGTCATATGGTAGCTTTGACCGATCGAGTACCCTGGTAAGCTCTTCGGTAGCCTTGGTTCTTGAGATAATCGTCCGGCGGACCTTGACGGCGCGAGTGAAGTCCTTGAGTACCTCTTCCAGGGCATATCCGGGAATCTTGCCTTGTAATGACATGGAAACGACCTCCTCGTCAGTAAGCTCGTGTGCGCGTTTCTCCTGTAAAAGTTTCTCGGTCTCTTCAGGTGAGTGTGACACGTTGGGGCGAGCCTGTTCGGTAGCCGCTCTTGTGGCGGGCGATTCTCCTTCGTCGTCTATTAATGCAGGTGTGATGGGCTTCGATGAAGTTGGGGTAGGTCGCATATACTCGCCAAGTGGGAGATTCGGTGTGTCGACATCGTTGAATTTCTGGGCATCGGCAAGATCGCGAGTATTGATTGGCCGATCTGGGACGTTAGGGTCCTTGATACCCCATCGAGCAGCGTTAAACAAGTAACCATTAAGAGCAACGCTCATAGCCAGGGCGACAACAATCCACTTGGACAAGATAGGGTCCTCGAGACTCTTGAGGATACTGCCCACCATACGTCCACCCATCCCATAGTTCGCAAAATCACCCGACTCGTCCTCGACCTTACCGGGGCGCTGTCCGTAATGAATCGATGGGAACTCGAGCTCATACTTGATCGGGGTCAGAACAGTCACCACGGTCTCCTGATTCTTGCGCATTGCGTTTTCAAGAATCGAGTCCAGTCCGCTAGCCGCGACCTTGAACGGGTCGACGGGGGGCGAGCTAGCAACTCCGCCGAGACCTCTGGCCCACGAGGAGATGTTGGTGAGGGAGTCGGTGCTACGGAAAGGGATAGTGCAGATGTTGAAGACGTTGATGATGAGAAAACCGGATACCATGAGCACCTTGAACTTGGGGACGCTGGTGCTCTTCATTTGGCGACCAAAGATAAAGGTGGCTGGCTGGCCCTTGCCATCCACTCGGGCCCAGTCGTTGTTCTCGGCAACCTCCTTGGCAACACGGTGGCTGATACCATCGTCCTCCAGAGCCCTGCGTATCTCCACATAACGCTTGATCCGGTTGATCTCCAACTTAATGCAGAGGATAGCTGTGTAGAAGGAGAACAGCAGGATTCCGTCGAAGAAGAGGATCCACGCTGCCAAGAAGCAGAATTGCTGCAGGCCGCCCTGGACTCCAGAAGCTGCACCCGCTACGAGAATGATAATTTCGATAACATAATCCTTGATAATCTCGTAGCCTTTCTCCTTGATGGCGGCTTGGATGGCGTATTGAATCACACTCGTGCTCTTACCGACCTTGCGAAGCCCCTTAGCGTTGCTATTAGAGATTTCGTTTTTTAGAGAGCGGCGATGCTCCAGTGCGTGTGACAGGACAGCTTGTGTCAAAACGATGTTCTTCTCAAAGCCGATGGTAACAACCAAGAATGGCAACCCCTCTGAGAGTAGTACGACGGTTATCGGTACGCCCAGTTTAGTGGTTACGATAAGACCGAAGAGGAAGGCGAAGGTAGAGGACAAAAAAGTGCTGGTGCCCAGCCAGAAGTTCGAGCCTATCCGGCGCATGGAGAGGAAGAGCGAGACAAAGGTTAGGTGCATAGAGAGGTAGCCGAGGACCATGATAATAATGTCGAGAGTTTCGGCATTCTTCAGCAGATCCACAAACTCAACCCATCTATTGTCGAACCAGCGCACAACACTGCTTCTGGTGTAAACTCTAGCCGCCTTCATGATCCACATCTTCTTTTCCTGGCCGCGCTCCGTATCCATAGTCTCCTGTCCCGGAATGTTATTGGGGATCTCCTGGGCGGCAGCCGCAAACTGCGGTGCCTGGTGGAAGTCGAGTGCAAAAGCAAGCGCAGTATCTTGGGAGTAGGCACCGAGCGGATTGGCGGTTGAGGGAAGTGAGGTGATGGACAGATTTTCAGGGGTCGGCACGACGTGGATCAGAGGGGCCGAGTTCGGCGAGCTGTGGGAGAGCGACTCGGGGAAAACGAAGGTGACAAGAGCGAGATGATCGGCGCGGGAGGGAGCCGATGCCTCGGAGTCGTAGGGTTGCCATTTCCACGAGGTCTCGGGACCAATACGCAAGCTCCTGCTGCCATCAGCCAGGCTAGACCAGTCGGCACGGCGGACAGTTCCAGAGAGGTCGAGGAGGCTCTCCTCAAGGAGGCCCAGGTAGGTGAAGCTGGCAAGGACGGCAACGATGACGATGGTGTGAATCGGGTGTAGGGAGGTCAGGCTAGCCAGGGTCTGCAACAGGGGAGTTATCCTGTTGTTGAACCACGACGGGGCCGAGGCTTTCGTCGCGGGCTGCTGACCCCAGAAGCGGGAGGGAAGGAAGGAGGACGCGGCGACCATGTCGAAGTCTTATCAAGGACGAGGATGTTGAGGGTCGAAGAGGGAGGAGGAACGGGAGTCGTTATGTTTGTTACGCCGGATGTATTGGCTGGCCGGGCGAGGGTGTGGCCTGGTCATAGTTGAGTGTAAGTAAGGAATATCAGCCCCAAAGCGAACTCGGTGCCTTGTGCGCATCATGATAACAACAGCAACAGCTACAGGAACAAAACATCATGGGGGCAGTGTAAGGTATGGAGCAACAATTGCTGCGGTCATTGTGGAATCAGGAGCAATTAGAATCCCCGGGCGGGTAAACGCGATTGCGCAGGCCGCAGCGGTGTCAGCTGCAAGGAGGAACGGAGAGGAAGTGAGGCCGTACCGAGAAAAGGCTTTGTGCCTGACTACTATTTTTCCCTGATGGCGCCCCGTCGACCGATCACGGGCTGTCCAGTTAGGTTTGTCGATGTCCGATGCGAGCCAAAACGGGAATCGGGGTTCGGAGCCTGCGAATGAACGGGATTGGGTTAGCAATGAGGGAGGCCGCTTAAGGCAACAAAGGGAACAGCGGCTCTGGTTGAAGAGAGAAAACGATTAGGTAGGGAATTACTATTAAAAGCAAGGAAAACGACGTCGTTGAGTGCAAAGTTCTTTGCTTTTTTGGCGTGCAAAGGGGTGGGACCCAGGAGGTTGGTATTTTTTCTCATTTCCATTTCCAGTTTTCAAGTGCCCCCTGAACCCGGCTGCAAGATAGGAGGTTGACAGATAGCTTAGTAAGATGTGTGTGGGGCAGAGAGGGCTTATTCCCTCTTAGCTTGTTAAGTTTGGAATCTCGCCTACTATGTGGGGCGGACCCTTGGTTGTTCCTAGGCCCGTGATTGGCCAGAAATGGATTACAAGTGGGACAGCGCACACAAAAAGGAAAGGCCAAAATTTTTAACATGTAACGATACTTAGTACATTACTTTGAGGTCTCAGATCAGCCCAACTAGTCCCCTGTACCTCACCCCAACCTCTAACCGGATTAGGCGATTTTGCCGAGCTTTTTCCCTGTTAACCAAACTTTATCCCTATTTCGTATAAGGGTCACTAAATTCTCCTTTCTAACCACCGTACGAACGTGCACTTGATTTATTCTTTTTCGCGATTAAAAGTTAGCCTAGAAGCATTCAATAAATAATTAACTAATCGGTGGTGGTGGTGGTGGTGGTTGTGGTGGTGGTTTGTTGGTGGTGGTTTGTTGGTGGTGGTTTGTTGGTGGTGGTGGTTTGGTGGTGCAGTTGACTTGGTGGTGGTGGCGGTGGTAGAGGCTTCAGTAATCAAAAGGATCTCACCCCAACCAACTAGTGGAGTAAGGTCGTAGGAAAGAGCCAATAGAATCTTTAGGAAGCCGCGACCCGCTTTGGGGTGACTCCACCTTTGCCATCGGTCTGGTCTTGGCCACGCCGGTTCCGGGGACCATGGAGGACAACGTGATTCCCCGCTTGCGCCAGCAGACGCCCTACGACCAGGCTGAGCTCTTCTTCCGCAGCGCCAAGTCCATGACCGAGTCCTTGGGCGGCTTGGAGGATGCCGGGTTCTGGTCGGTGCAGTGCTTGTCGTTGGTGTCGCTCTACACGCTTACTGTGTCCAAGCGGAATTGCTCCTATGCCTATTATGGTACGTTTTGTTTTTCTCTCTTTTTCCTTCTTCTTTCCTTTTTTTTTCTTTCATTTTTCCGTACCTGTCGTCGGCCTCAACTCACACACCTAGGCATGACTCCGATACGCTGTTTACATTTGACCAGATGAGCTGGAGCTATAACGAGTATCCGCCGAGCATGCCATCCGACATGGGCGTCTTGCGCTCTGTGGCGGATGTGGACGGATCCATAGGATCCATGTCTTCAGCGAGCAATGGGACCCTGCCGCGCGTGGCCCCCTCGACACGTCCGAGCTGATGCAGCAGACATCCGCGCCTCTGCAGGGTAGCGACGGGAGCCCCGACACCGTGTACAGACACGCCAACCACGCTGATCCGGAAGTGAGTGACGTCCAAGTGTTTTCATATTGGGCTTGGAAGGTTACACGGTGGAAGACGGGGAAGTCGCAGTGCACTTTGTCGAAGAAGAGCGCCACCAGCCGGTCGGCCTCCTCACGAGGCGGAAAGCCGACGCTGGCCTGGCATTTCGAGAGGGCTGTAGTTGGTTCTGGTATAGCGATGGGAACGGGCTCCGAGTCTGGTGAGGTGGTCCCGTGCAGGCTCTGGGTCTCCGGTCGATGGGGTGGCTTATCAGGTGTGCTTGGCTCCATTGACACGCTTCTTACCACAGATGTCGGTTGCGTTGCAACAGAGACCGGTGCTGTGGTGTTGGTGATGGCATCTTGTTGCTGGGCAGCCGGTTGTTGAAAAGGGGATCTCCCGGTGGTCACACACGGCATACCCCAGCGCTGGCAGTGCTGGCAGCCATCCCCAGGCCGGTCTCGACAACACTTGACATGGCTGCTACGGCACTGGTCACAGCTTTTCTTGCGGCGCCGTCGGCATTCAGGCGGCACTTTGCGCCGGACCTGTCGAATACGCGGGGCCGTCGAGGAGCTGCTCATGTTGTTTGGTCAGGAAGCGCAGAGTTGGAATAGAAACGGTCGCGGAGTACGGTTAGATGAACGGAGGTTGCGACGAGGACGGGATTATATCCTGTAGGGCCACAGAGCCCTGGAAACTGTTGGCACATGGCAGGCCCCCACGGGGCACAGCCTCGTGCTTTCCCGACGACATGCGGGGTGATAGCCTTGGTAGTTACACAGATGATATGTTCTTCATTTTCAGGGTCATTTATTTGTTCTTGGCAATAGAATTTCAACAGAGGGGCGCTATGGCCTTGAAATGAGAGTGGTCATCATCACATATTGCCCCTTGGGCAGACATAACACATGGAAACCCAGCAAAACACTGTCTGTTCCTCCTACAAGACGCCAGTCACACTTTCCCACGCGCCAGGGTCCCTGTTTCGGGGTTATCGCAGTGGACGATACGCTCGGGAAAGAGCAGCACCAGTGACGCACACACCTCGCCAGTCTTAGCTGACTCACAAAGCATAAGAGGCACCGACTACATGCACCCCCCATTTTGACTAGGTGTACCGCCCTATTAGATAATCACTGAAACACGTGACGTTTTGAGCCCCTTCGCCGCATTTAATAGAGCTTCAATAATTCAGCCGCATTGCAGCCAAAAATCATAACCTTCATCCCCAAATATCTCGCGATACGTGCATGCAAAAGCAATAAGCTGTATATTTTCAGAACCAGTGAGTCTAGGGCGTTCAGCTAATGTATATTATTTGCCTCTTGTTAACTTATAGCTGAAGAAATTATGGATCTAGAAGATAATACTACGGAAGTGGGTAGCGCTAGCTATGACACGAATGGGCCGCCCTCCCTGCCTTCTGAAGCTATATACGAATCGCGGGAAGCCCTACTACAGTCAATTAATGCTTGGGCATCACGTCATGGCTGCGCTTTTATTACTGAAAGGTCGAGGTTAAAGGCAGGCAGGCGTATTGCTGTCTGTTCATGTGACCGATCAGGACTTATACCAAACCTCACGAAGGCACGTCAAAAGCAGACTACTAGCAGAAGGACTGGCTGCCAGTATTCGGTACGAGCAAAAGAAGGTGTTGATAGCACCTGGGCCTTAAAGCACCGCCCTGATTCGAAGTTTTCGGTTCATAACCATGAGCTTACGGAGCCTCTAGCGCATCCAGTTCGCCGCGCCTTGACTACTAGTCAAAAAGCAGAGATATCTGATTACGTGCGGGCAGGGCTACCGCCGAGAGAGATTCAGACACTGCTTCGTCAAAAGCATGCAACGCTGGCAACAAGGAAGGATATTGCCAACCAAATGGCAGAGATCAGACGGCAGAGGCATGGAGGGCAGGGTCCTCCCGAGGCCATGGCTACTAGCCTTCGAAATGAAGGCTTTTGGAGCCGCATTCTGGTTGATTCAAATAATCGGATGAAAGCTGTGATGTTTGCCCACCCAGATTCAATTAACTATCTTCAGTTTAATTCAGACGTACTGCTCCTCGACTGTACGTATAAAACAAATAGATACAGCATGCCGCTGCTTGATCTGATTGGTGTTGATGCATGCCAGCGGTCCTTTTGTATTGCTTTCGCTTTTCTTAATGGCGAGACTGAGCAGGACTACCTCTGGGCGCTGGAGCACTTGAAGGAGCTATATACTGCTCATGATATCAAATTGCCCTCGGTTATTTTGACTGATCGGTGCCTTGCGTGCATCAATGCGGTTGAATTAACCTTTCCACAACCATCAAAGCATCTCCTCTGTCTTTGGCATGCCAACAAAGCAATTGCGGCTCACTGCAAGCCCTCCTTTCAGACTGAAGAAGACTGGACTGCTTTTATTACGTGCTGGCATGACATCATCAAATCATCAGATGAAACCTTATATCAGCAACGTGTGGCAGCTTTTAAGTCTATATATGCTATACAACGACCTGGCGAAGTAGCATATATTCCGGGATACCTGGCTAGTACACCATGAAAAGCTAGTCAAGGCTTGGGTTAACAAAAAGCTTCACTTTGGCAACGCAGTCACGTCACGAGTAGAAGGTATTCACTCTCTAGTTAAAAGATATCTTCAGACATCACGATGTGACCTTTTTGACTGCTGGACAGCTATCAAGCTTGCTCTGGCCAATCAGCTATTTGAAATAAAAGCAACCCAAAGCCAACAGCAAATCCGACTACCGCTTGACCTATCTGGACCGTTTTTCTACAGCGTACGTGGTTGGGTCTCTATTGACGCACTACGGAGAGTTGCGGCTCAAAAGCGGTTATTGGATCGAAAAACAAAGGAAAAGGAGGCTTTGCTGCCATGCTCTGGAGCCTTTTCAGCCTCATTTGGCCTGCCTTGCGTGCATATAATTCAACAACGGTTGTTGACTGATCAGGCCCTTCAATTACAAGACTTTCATAGTCACTGGCACCTGATTAGAAATAGTACAGCCTCTAGTCGACCATTACTAGCACCACGGCAGAGGATTGATTCTATTTGGGCAGCCTCTCGCCTGCCAGTATCAAGCACCAGAAGAGAGCCTAGTGCTTTTGAGGTTATTGAGGCTATCAACGAGCCAAGAAGGAAGGCACCGTCAACGTGCAGTCGATGCGGTAATGTTGGGCATACGAGAGTCTCTCGCACATGTCCCGAATTGGCTGTCACACGGGGATGGAGCCCTGCACTAATAATTAGGTTATAAGGGTTAGGAGGATAATGTCGGGTAGCAAGGCCGTTACCTCGGCGACCTACTAAGGAAAGTCCTAGATAAGCTATAGGTAGCTTCGGTAGTAGGGTATAACGGTACTAAGGTACGGAGGTACCTCCGGAATATATTAGGACGAAACGGGGACTAGGAAACCTAGAAAAAGGGAATAAGGATATAAGAGATCCCTTATAGAATTATTAATTAAATTAAACCTATTCTAAGTATATTCCCTTATTATAAATAATTCTATATTACTCTTAACCTTATAACTTTTACCATAAGCTAGTAATAGGAAAAGCTAATGCCTAAGCCTACGTCGTACGTAATAACCGCCGCCTCATACTATTACTACTAGATTAATCCCGACCTTCTACTGAAAATCTAGAGCCATAGGCGTTCTTATTCCCGCGGCTAACGAACTCGGGGCTAGCGTCGGTTACTATGGCTAAGGTAGCTTAGATAATAAATACGATTAATAAACTAAAGGCTATAATAACCGAATGGAAAAAAAAGGAACCCGAACGATAACGAACCCCTCCGGCGCCTTAGCCGGAAGTAACCCCCGAACCGACCGATAAATCCCTCGTAATATACTAACCTTAAGAATACGAAGTAGTTATAACTAATACTCTGGAAATCGCGAACTCGGGGGTAGTTATACGTAATTCCCCGTAATGGATCATAAATTTATATCAATAAATGGAATAAGTATACTAAAGCCTAGCGATATTAGCTAATTAAATCGATATAGGATATCGATAGAATACGATCCTAAAAAAGTAGTACGAATAATTACGGTAGCTTTATTAAACCGCTACGGCTATATAAGCTACCGGTATAAGAACTACGAAGATATAGATTTAGGAATTCTAGAAGTAGGTCGTGGAATAAAGTATCTATTTCGCTTAGAACGTATAGGAAATAATAGCTAAGTTCGCCCGATAGGATAAAGCGCGAATTACTATAATAAATTAACTCCGAAACGCCGCCCTTTAGAATTAACGAGCCTTAGTTTAATTACGCGAAGAATATAATAAGTTAGTAACGGACGTTAGCTTATAGGCTACGTAAAAGGATAGATAAATTAACGAGATCCTTAGTAAGGAATACCTTATTCCCGGGGCTATAAAAGAAAAGACTTAGTTAATTAAAAATAACCTTAAGGCTTACGTAGTTAATTTAATTAAGGAATATTAATAACGACGATTAAGTAATAAGCTAATAAATATCGAATCTATTATAACTAAAGCTAGCTAAAGGGCTCGGATACTTATTTCCGTACTAGCTACTCGTCCTACGACGGCGTTTATAGGAAAATATATTAATAGCGAAGCTAAAATAAGGGAAATTATTTTAAACGGCGTACTTTAGGATACCGCGGTTAAACGTACCGCTATACGCGTAAGAATCCGTTTCTAAGACGCTACTACGGATACCTTTATATCGGGAGGAGCCGGATTAGGACTACCGTTCCCGCTTAGGACTCCGCGAAACGCTTCCGGGGACCTAAGGAATTCGGGCGACTCGGACGACTCGGACGATTTAGAACATAAGGATCCGTAAAGGCCTCGCCGTCTTTTAAGTACCCTTAAAGAACCTTAAAAGCCCCTTAACCTAGCCGAAGAACGTATAATTCGAGCCTAGACCAAGGCTATAAATAGCCGGCGAAGTATTACGGTAATAACTAACTTAGTATTGAACAGGAGCAGCGTGGGCACGCTGACGGAGGCACGAAACAAGGGCTATCCAACTGCCAACAACTGGCCCAGTGCCGATCAACCCAGATCACAGCTGTAAACAGCTGTAATCGGTTGATCGGCCAGCTGAAAACGGCAGCTGGGAAAGGGGAGACTGGAAAGGGTAAAAGAGGATGGCTAGAAAGGCATGGCAAGAAACGAGTGAATAGCTATAGGTCGTGATGTCTATAGGTCTAAGTCTAACTGATGAAAATATAAGTACGCGACCCATATAAATAGACATCGAAAAGGCTACGTGGCTTAGATCTACCGCACTACTACAGCCTCCCCAGTTTAATTAATCCGCAAGGAGTAATTAAACTCCTAATAGCAATAGGTACGGTGGCTCTCGTTTCCTGCTGAACCTGATCAACTACTGATTAACCTAATCCCGATTAACCCTGATTAACTAAAAGCTAGCTAGTTTAATTAAAGGCTAACAGGATAAGTCAGGAAGAAACAGGGTAATCCTAACAACTAGGAACGATTGTAACAGCAATAAGTAGGTAGTGGGGTAGGTAACTGCAACCGTGCCTAATCCTAAACCTAAACCTGATTAATCCCGAACCTGTTTAATCGCTACTAACTAGGAGCTAAGCTAGTTCAATTAACGATTAATAGGAAATAGGAAAGATCTGATAACAAGAACTAGGCTAGCGGAGCTGTAACCTGTAAACTAACCTAATTAACCTATTCCTAATTAACCCTAATTAACTAGGAGCAAGCTAGGTCCATTAGGGCCATTAAGAAACAATAGGGATCGTTAGGAAAACAGGAACTACAACGGGTAGGTAAAATAAACGTAGCTCCCTTGAGAAACAAAGAAACAATCCCATACGATATAACGTAATCTCCGTCCTTCTCGTCCATGGCTAGCTTTGCCGATCCTTTTTAACTAATTCCTAATCCTATAAACTAACTAATATATCCTATTTAATGCCCGTTTCTGACTCGTTTCTGGTAACCGTTCCTATATTCGTCCGGCAGCATCTACCGGGCTTTCCTTAACCCTCGATCCCTCCCCTGTACGTGGTTCTAGGGGCTCTCTAGGCTCTTCCTATTAACTATATATCGGTAAGGGCGATAAGAGGGGTCTCCGGGTATTAACCTATAACTCGTTTCTTTCCTATGGCTGTTTCTAGGCTGTTT